ATTTCAGCCATTATGAAATGACCCACCGAACCTAAGTCACTGAGGTTAGGAGCTTCTTAGGGTGGGTGAAATATTACATATGCTTCATTCAATACTTCTCCAAGATATTAACATTACTTACACAATTAATCAAGAAGGGTAAATCATTTGTATGGACGACAATGTGTGAAAAGAGTTTCAACGACTTTAAGGAGAAGCTTGTGACAGCGCCATTACTCATAGTACCGAATAACTCAAACAACTTTGAAGTTTACAATGATGTCTTGAGAAAAGGTCTAGGATGCGTGCTAATGCAAAATCATAAACTAATAGCTTATGCCTCCTGACAACTCAAGAAGTAAAAGCGTTATTACCCTGCTCATATTTTGTTGTTATTAGTGGTAATATTCGCACTCAAAATACGAAAAAACTATTCGTGTATGAGGAGAGGATTCAAAGTATAAACTAACTACAAAAACGTTAAAGTATCTATTTATGAAAAAGGAACTTAACATAAAGCAACAAGGGGACCCGAATTGAAGATGGATTACGACATGAAAATCCTTTACCATTCAGAAAAAGCCAACATGTTGGCCAAATAGGAAGACAACTCACTCAATTGCATTGATTACAAGACAAAAGAAGCTATAAGAGAAAATAGAGAGTTGAACAGAATTCATTGTCAAGACGTCCCCACCTTAATTGGTAGGAAGCAAAGGTGTTCTATAAATGGGAGACTATGGGCAATTCTTTGGAACAAAAAGTTGGGCTTGGGAGTCCCTAGGCTCTTCCAAATTTGAGAGTTAATAGAATACCATTGGATCCCAAGCTTGTTTCTATACGTTCTAAATGAAATTATCCGTAAAGAAACTAAGAGTTGAGAGTGCCTAGAACTCATTTCCCCAATCATTATATCCGTGACAAAAAAAAAAAAATGAAATTTGGTATGGAGTTGAAGCCTGTAGGACGAAAAAACAAGTTTAAGGTTGACCAAGGAACCCTAGACTTTGACCGCAAGATTTTAAGCACCCATGCAAATTCGTTCCTAGAGAAACCATTTGTTTGAGGGGAAGGAGAGGAAGAGATTTAATGAAAGTAACGCGATTTAAAGCAAGAGTCATGAATTTGCACCAGCAAGAAAGCTGATTTTCAAAGGTATTCTAACGACATTTATCTTGACCATGATCCAAGATAGAGCACGAGGTTTGTCCCTTCTTCCTTGCATTTGCCTCTACAACTTTATAAAAGATATTAAGGGCTAAGGCTCAACGTATGGAGCTTTGGAAGACGGTTTTCGAAGGAAGATGATAACGTAGCAAGTCGTCACCCCTAAATTCCAACCCCAATCAAACTAGCAGCTCTCACCAATTTCCTTTTTGTTCCATAAAATAAACTCCATTACAATCCTACGCAAGAAAATTAAGAACAATTCAAGTAATCAAGGCTTATTTGAATGTCATCAAACATGAACATGTTCTCCTCTAAAATCTTAATTGAAGACTTATTGTGACATGATGGGGTTAAACCAAAGATATGGATAAAATGACCCAAAAGCCCTTTGATGTCTAACTATTGGTTTATTAACCAAATGAGATCTAAATTTATGATTTCTAAGGAGTAAGAAAATTTTGAAGACGATTGAGCATGAATCATAGATTTGAGTCAAAAATGACCAAAATATCCCTAAACCTAAAACATTAGAATTTGAAACTTAATATGACTCTAATATATGATATTATGATTGACTTAACATATGTGAATGACATGTTCACATGAGTATGACTCGAACACAAGATTTAGGCTTGTGAGAGAGTCTGGATAGGAGAAGAATAGTTTGGAATATACCGGAGAAAGTGTGGGATCTTTTTGAGTCAACCCAATAATCCTATTTATGAGGACATATATATGTTAAATTAAATTAGATCCTTCCAATTAAATAATTTTCTCCATTGGTATTTAATATATTTAATATATTAAATATTAATTTGAATATTTCAAATTTGTTTTCAATTAAATTCAACTTTATTGTATTAGTATGAGCTAACGAGAGGATCTTATTGACGGGTAGATTATAAGCTCCAATAATACAAATTTAATTAATTAAATTATTTAATTAATCAATTTTCATTCATTGATCATCTATTATATACTTAGAGTTGCACTCTTATGACACGGTGGAACAAGTTGTGTCCTTTGATATAAACATTATAAGCAATCTATCATTCACGAGTGGTTTGTAATTACATCTTGGTCAAAAGTCCATTTTACCCCTGTAATTATTTCACCTTAACTACCACTTATTCTCTAATAAATAATTTGTTTATGATACAATCATAAACTAAGTCCCTCCCAAAACAATGAGAAGGTGGAGCCCATTGTTCAAGTCTCGAAATCAGCACTTGAGGAACTACATATGGGAATGAGTAAATTCTATCTTGTAAAATTATATTTCCAGCTCCCTATTGAGTCAAATCTAAAAAATGATTATATATATTATAGTGACTCGGTTACAAAAGTCGTTCTCACCCATGCAAATCAAAGGACAAACTTTCACAGACAAGAGTTCATAACTCATTCAGGATTAGGATCGAGTCATGTATGATCATTATGTGAAATGTTAATCTTCCCGATTAATAAATTTATAAAGAGAGATTAAATATTTCATGGTCTAGTATTATACAAACTCATTGTATAGGATACTCCGACTCACATGTCTCCACATGAACGATTTGGATCAAATCATTTGTAATAATGACAAAGTGGGTCGTATCAACAGTATTACCAGGATAAGACACCCATCCTTATCCATATATTATAAACCCGTTAGGTTATTATTTGAACATGATCACATATGTCAACACATATTGTTCAAGATTACAATAATAACCTTCTATTTTTCTTACAAGGAATAATATTAAATTGTAAATAAAATGATCAAAATTATTATTAAAAATTAAATAATTAATTACTAGACTTTAGGGCATAAATCTCAACATCTTAAGATTGCTAGGTACAACTCTAAACCTCTAAACCATGTCTTAAATGACGACTTCCCACCACGTGGTGCATATGGTTTCATATTTCCCTCACTTAGAGATGTCATGTGCCATGTTTTTTTAGAATGATGTCATGTTTTATGTTTCATGTTTTTCCTCACCTAGATAGAATGTCCTGCCCGAGATGCTCACCCATGTTTTTGCATGTTATCCTTCCCTACAATATTGTAGGCTCTTTTCCCCTATGTTTTAGGATATTTTGGGCATGTTTCTTACTGGATAACACATTCACGTTCATGGTATTCACGAAAGATGTGACCTTCTAAGTTTTTCACGGAGAGTAATCTTGGAACATATTAGAGATAGCTACTGAGTTGACTAAGAACCATGATTCAAGATCAATGCCTTGAGACTAAGATCCTTATGTCAAGAAACCGGTTAAGTCCTTCGTTAGAACAAGAAAGTATTGAATGGGCAGATATTTTTGTATAATACAAATATATATGTATATTTTGTGCACGTTTTTTCTCTTTTCATTTTTCCAAGTTTTCTTGGTCTAAAAGCGAAATTTTTTCTTTGTATTTTCATAACTCTTTTGCGTCAATCCACGTTGCGATATTTGCTAAAAACAACTCAAGAATTGAGTCGTGACAATACCTCCATTCACATGTCTTTACATGAACAGTTTGGATCAAATTATTTATAACAATTATAAAGTTAATCGAATCAGTAGTGTTACAAGTTTACCCATAAACTCTAGATCATTTAAGTTACACACTGCTTAGGCAAAGCAAGCTACAACGCCAGAGAAGAGATTTGTCACTCAGAAGACTTGTGATGCCAGAAATGAGTGAACCACCTCCTTCATACTGAGTGAGTCCAGTAGTAGTAGAGGTTCGACCCGAACTTCCTAGAACCCAAAGCAAAATCCGTGGATGCCTATTAGGTTAAAGGATGCGATGAGAGTTTACAAATAAATTGCTTACTTAGTATTTTATACTCAGCTCTTTCCTCTTTCTTTTATGATAGGTGTTCGCAAGATGCCGATAGAAATGGAGGAGCACTCGAGAGTTATGCTGTTAGAGGGACAAGAAGTAGACTTTTCAAACTCATGGAATATTAAATTTTCACCGGAGGGTGAATTTGACACTTAAAATGAAATTTAATTTGAGATTTGAATTGAAATTTCCTAAATCCAAAACTCAAAAACTTAATTATTTTAATCTAATCCACTACTCAAATTAAGTTATAACCATCGCATTAGCTAAAAGATATCTATTAGATGAACACGACTCTCCACAGTGGTATGATATTGTGCGTTTTGAGCATAAGTTCTCATGACTTTCTTTTGTATTTCTCCAAAACACCTCATACCAATGGAAATAGTATTATTTGATTTATAAACTCATAATGATTCTCTATATTAGGACTGATCATGAGTTTATAATCAAAGAATAATATCTCCATTGATATGAGACTTTTTTGGAAGTCCAAAGCAAATTCATGAGAGCTTATGTTTAAAGTGGACAACATCATAACATTATGTAGAGTCGTGTTCATCTAACATGGTATCAGAGTCATGCCCCTAAAGTTGGGCTGAATTAGATTTTTTCTTTGATTTAGGTGTAGTTGAATCGATAGATTACTACCCTGAAAATATGATTGCAAATTCAATCAAATTTTATCTTATTTTTAAAATTAGTATGAAAATTAAGAATATTTAAATTATATAACAAATGTTAATAGTTAGTTGGGACGTGTGTGAATGTTTGATATTTAATTTTATGAGATTTTAGTTATTAATACAAGGTGTGAAATCATTAATATGATATAAAGCTGACGGAAGTCAGAATAAGATGAACACTATATAATAAATATTTAAAAAAAGAAAAAAGTTAAATGGAAAATGAAAAAAAAATAACAATATAAACAAGAAAGAAAGAGAAATTATAGCACTTTGTTGAAGCAGTTGAACTGCAAATTCCACATACAAATCACCACCACCACCAAATCCTAATTCCCAAATCCCAAATATTCTTTTCCCCAATCTCTCATTTTTCATTTCAATCCAAATCCATGGCGGTTGAAGATGATTTCACTTTCCCCACCGCCTTCGACTCCTTCACCCGCTGCAGCATCGATTCCCCGCCGCTCTGGCGCGTCTCCCCCGCCGCATCTCCCATTTCCGATTCCAACTTCAGAGACACCACGGCCCATACTGAGAGGGCCGATCGTTTCGCCACCGTGACATTTACGTCCTCGTTGCAGAGGAGGAGACTCGAGAGCGACGAGGAGGAGGAGGCGGCGGCGGCGGCGGCGGCGGCGGAGAAGATGGATGTGCTCTGGGAGAATTTGAACGAGGACTTATCGAGGAATCGAAGATCGAGGTTGATGAAATCGGCGGAGATTGAATCGGTTGAGATAGCGGAATTGAATCCGTCGGAAACTTCGAGGAGCACGGCGACGAGGAGGAAGAAGACGACGACGGGGATTGTTAAGGTTTTGAAGAAGCTTTTCTTGATGCAGAACACTTCCCGCCAGAATCTGGAAACTCGATCAGGCTGGAAAACGCGTCGGATTCATTTTTCTCAAAATGTATAAATTAATAAGAATTCACAAATTAATACATGATTTGATTTTATCTTTCCTTCTCGAACATTGAAAATACTTCAAAATTTTTAACCCAATTTCTTGTTCTTCATTCATTGTAAAAGGGGTAAATGTGGGCTTCTGGTATCTACCTGTTTGAATTGGGGGGTGGTTTTGGAATTTATGTTCTTAGCTACATTTCATAATAGTTACAAATATAGCTTAATTTTAAGTTCACTTCAATATAAAACTTACCCAACTATATACTTCAAAATCATTAAATCATGATCCATCATGTATCCACCGTCGATAAGTTACATTTGAAGTTTCATTGGATTGTGGGTGTGTGAGATGCATGCCCACGTGTGCTTAGACCACCTTGTTTTAGCTTGGCATGAGCTGAGCTTTTAGTAGCCTAAACTTTTTTATTCGGGTCTAATCTTAGTTCAAATCATGTATAATTCTAAATTTACCCACGATGGTAAGAAATTTATTTGTTGATTTGTCCTTAATGAATTGTATTCTCTATTACAACCAAACCCCTTTTGAGGGCCTAACCAATCTTTCACGCTCATACCTCATATTCAACTAAACCTTTTGAGGATGTTTAGGTCAAGCATGACATAATTGTGTGTTAAGAGTGCATTAGTAGTCTTATGTGTCATGAAGTTAAGTAAGAATTTGACATAATGTATTATACGACTAAGTATAGTTTCAAGTAGCTGGTAGGAAACAATGTTTGTTCGTGTTAATGATATTAACAAAGTGCAATTAGCTTGTAAATGGTATGTGTGAAATTGATGGTTATAGTACTAATATTTAAGCCCCGCGTGATGATCAAGGACATAAACATGTATGTTAGGTTAGGGAAACAAGTATAAGTATGTTAAATTAGATTGTCTCATGATTTATATGTTAGGAAAGGATATGCAAACATGTAAACACAATGTGTGCGTGCGTTAGAGCATGAACATTTCTTATAATTGAAACCATTTATAGAGTTTTTTTGATCTCCCCCAAATTTGAGTATGTTCTAGAGGACGACACCTCATCACATAAGACGGTCATAATTCAAGGTTGGTTGCTTGTTGATCGGAGAAGATATTGCCGACGATAAATCCAGAAAACTCAATCTCCAAATCACGACGATTCTCGAGATTTTAATGTCGGTAAGCTTCCTCTATAAAGTCTAAAGTTGGAGCATTCATATAGAACAAGAATCGAGTTAAGTCGAGCTTTCATTCGTGAGTTATAGCCGTTTAGTTTTTTGGTTTTCTACTCTTGAGTTTCTTCCAAATTTGAGAGCAATTGTCTACCATTTCCCTTCAAACTTGTTCCTACTGTTTCTAAACAAGATTATCTTCAGCGCTAAGAACTCATTCCCCAAATCCTGTCCACCATTAAAGAAGTATTTCCATAGAAACCACAAAGAAACTTAGTCCCAAGAACGTGCCCAATTGAAAAAAATCAACTTCAGGTATAATTTGAGAGTAAGTATCGAATTCCTATCTATGGTCCATTTTTCTTAAAATTGAGCCTTCCTTTAGCTTCAGAGATTGAAGTGAGTAGCTTTGATGAAGAAATCGAGAGCTAACACGCTCTAGAACAAGCTGCCTAAGAAAAGGAACTTTTGCGTCTTCAGGTGAGTTGCAAACCGAGAAAAAATCCTCAAAATTAAGGCCACACCTAGAGACATTCCTCCAAAACATTTTCTTTGGCTAGAGGGAAGAAAAATGATGAATTAGTTCCAGGAAGAATTCGAGTCCTGAAAACCTCTAGAAACGGTTGTCCAATAAGATTTGTATAGGTTGAGCTCCAACGAGGAAAACAGTTTTCGACGAACTATGGAGGAGAATTACTTAGGCTACAATCCACGAGAAAGTATGAAATTAATCCCTAGCTCTTCCTTGTAACACCACCTTTAAGTTTCATGAAGAAATCGAGAGGATAAATGTAGTAAACGGAGTTGGAGAGGCAAAGTTTCAAGTGGCAACCACCACGGTCGCGCGCGTCTTCTTCCTCTTCCTTCCAGAGGAAGAAGACAACAACATTGTCGATTCAGTTGTACCGGCTATGTCAACCCAAACTTCAACTGATTAGGTCTCCACACCCTTATAAGAAATCTTTCGTTCCCCTCTCCAACCGATGTGGGATCCAACAATCCACCTCCCTTGAGGACCCAACATCCTCACAGGCACACCACCCAATGTCTGGTTTTGATACCATTTGTATCAGCTCAAGTCCACAACTCATAGATATTGTCCTCTACGCACTTCTCAAATTGGGCATGTGCATTCTTCTAAGTCGAGAGGAATGTGTGAGGTTAGGCTACTCATGGACTTCACTTCGTGGACCCGTGAAGGCTAGTTGTTCGAGCTTCGCTCGTGGACCTAAAGTTGATAGGCAACTTCGAATCCAAACCCGTGTCCCAGATGGTGGTATAGTTTCCAAACCTAATGCCTGGTATGCAGTCTAGTTCTTCTTTAACAATTTTCTGCAATACTTCCTTTTTTTGAACCACTTTATGGACACTTCCTAATCACTTTCCAACGACGTTTCAGTGGCAGAACCGTACAGCTAATGTAGTTGTTACAGATGAGAAACAACCGACGAAGAAACAAACTCACGAACCTATAAAGTTACAAACTATTTCAACCCAACCCAACCCATTCGACGCAGAATCGAGTAGCAGTGTATAAAAATAAAACAAGACAGGCACAATTCAGCAGCAGCTACCAAATTAGTTAAGAAAATAACTGTAAAAGCTATGATAGCAATGAGAAAATAGCATTTGATATCCAACTAACTCAAAATCCAAAAGGAAGGCTGTCTGGTCTGTCCACAAAACAAAACGGCTATTTGCATTTTCTTTTGATCTAAGGAAAAAACAATGAACCTGGAACTGGTGCTTTACCCCATAGCATACTTCTGGGTCCAAGATCGAGCGTTACTTTCATACTTGGCTCGGTCGTTCTTGTACATATGAGCTATCTCAGGCACCAACGGATCGTCTGGGTTCGGGTCTGTAAGCAGTGAGCATACAGACAGCAGCACCTACACAATTCAGCACCTAACAAGTCATTACACTAACATGGTATTAGACACAAGATTGGTATTAAACCAAAGATGACATTACCTTAGAAACCGTAAGAGCGGGGCTCCATTGCTCCTTCAAAATGTCGAGGCAGATACTTCCATTGTTATTGATGTTAGGATGATAAACTTTGGTTTTAAAAGAAACCTGCTCAAACACACAATATAATTCTCATTACTATTACAATTACAAGGAATTCATTAATTAATACATACCTTTGGTGGTTTAAAGGGATAGTCTGGAGGAAAGTGAATGTTGACTGAAAATACACCTCCAGCATAAGGGCTATCAGCTGGACCCATAATTGTTGCCTGCCAATGAAACATGTCTTGACCAACAGGCCCTGTAAATAATCATCAAGGGCATGCCATTAATCCATAGAACTGACCCAAACTACTTACAAGCAGAGGCAGAGATATGATCCATATATGAATTAGCATTACAAATGATTCAATATCGCAGCAGTGCTCAAATGGGTTCGCATAGAAAACACAGAAAAATGGTCAGAACAAACCAGCACTGCAAGAAACTGGAGGATCCTTTTGGAGGTCTTTCAACTCTTTGGCAATGCGTCTGGAAGCCATGACACCTTGTAGATCAGGGTCTGCCTTGAATGAAGGAAATAAACGCTCAGTTCCCAATGGGCAATATACCCAATAAGCTACAATTAAAATTAAATTGAAGGGAACACATAACGAAAACAAAAATTGAGTCTAAAACTCATAATTCGTAAGGAGAAACGCAGAATTTTGATTACTAAACGAAAAGCCCTACATGCGAAATCAAAAAAAAGAAGAGAAACCCATCAAAATTCAACGAAAAGCCCTACATGCGAAATCAAAAAAAAGAAGAGAAACCCATCAAAATTCAACGAAAACCCATGAACAGAGTGTGGATGAAAACCCTGAAAACCCTTGAGAAACAAAGAGAGAGAGGGAAAAGGGGGGAAATCAAGGGATTTAGGTCACCTTTGGAGGAGAATTGTGAAGAGATTTGAGAAGCGCTTGGAGAGGATGGATCGAAGTGGAGAAAGGTGTTGTTTATATATGAAGTTTGGGAAGTCTGAAATTCTGAAATTGCTTCATGCACACGGCTTCAGCTTCTGCTTCGGAAATTGTTTAAAAAGCTTATTATTTTTTCCTGATTTTAGAAGGGGAAAAGTTTATTCTTTTTGTTTGCGTGTATTTGATTGATGATTTGGTTTGTTTTCTCTCTGTTTTGGGCTGGGCTTTTAAAGAGATGAAACTTCTTTCCGATTATCGGATTAGCGTACAAATTAGGCCAACATGTTCTACTTCCAATTTTGTCTTAAAAATATATATATATCAAAACTTTTGAAAAATTTAGCGTAAAAAAGTTTCGAGATAATCTATGAGGGGTGATTTCGCAATCATCTTTTTGAATTTTTTTTATAAACATAAGGAGAGTTAATACTATTTTTAAAATTTTTAAAAAAGGTGAAGGGTACTAATATATATTTTGAAGTTAAAGATTATTTTTAAAATAAAATATGTTATCTATCTAAAACTAACCCGGGTTTTTCTTTAGATTTTTTTGAAAGTTTAGAAATATTTTTATTAATTTAGCCAAAAAAAATTATTAACTTTTTTTCAAGGTTAAAAGTTTGAGGTGTTCAAAAGAACTTGATGGGAATTCAACCTAAACTAACCTATACTATGAATGCAAATGAAATTCAACTTATACTAACCTATACTACGAAATGGAAAATAACTATCCTATGCATGCGCCACGATCCCGGGATGTGTGATGTCGTCATCGATCTCACATGGATGCCTTGCCTTTATCTGAAAAATATAGTAGCACGAGACTTGAGTATTTCTAAAATACTCAATAAGTGACTCTCTATCGTGGTTATGCAACAATCACATGCAAATGAGATGAACCTATCTTTCAATCTGTCTTCCTACGGTGCTGTCTTAATAGGTAATTTGGACGTGTACCATATACTCTACACATAGCCCATACATGCGAGTATGTGCTTAGTTCGCACATCACTGGGCCATTTTCCTTGTCAAGCGAGCATACTCTGGGAGCTCCTTAGGCCGAACACCTGTTATCACTAGTAACCATGGCAACGCTATGCAAAACATAACGATCGTTGTCCTGCCATTGGATGTACGCGTTCGTCCCTCGT